TTGCTATTTTACTGACAACACGTGTTGCCTATAGGTCATGATCCAAATGTATGGAATGTGTGTGGTATGGGGTGAGCCGCTCTCACAAACTGCCCAATCGTTCATGCCTGAGTTGTTGTATGGAGCTGACCAAAGTATAAAGAAGGTTACTACTTATTCATCTATGATTCAAATCGGTATAACCAAGAATCCTAGCTAGTTCTCTTGTTTTGCCAATGATATATGGGCTGTCAGTGGCATATCTACTTATTGTTTTTATTCTGACATAAATGAATTTATGATATCAAACAGGCTCAAACACTGCTAAAGTCACTCGCGATTATCGGAGCTATACTTGGAGTGATAATAGGGACTGTGGGAATCTTAGTTCCCTGGCTTTTACCAAATATATTTACATCAGATCTTAATGTCATACAAGAGGTCAGCTCTCACATTTTTGACATTTACAAAAGTGCATTTCTCCTTTTACCTGATTCTTTTGGATTATCATTCTCATCCTGTCTGGCTGTGTCCTTGCAGATGCACAGAGTTTTAGTTCTATTCTTTTTTGCTTTAGCCATTACACCCTGCACTCATAGCCTTGAAGGAACACTGCTGGTATGTTGGACGACTTAATTATTCCATTCCTTAATTAGTCCTTTTTTCTTGTGTGTCCTCTACCTTCAGTTTCTTAGCATCAGAGAGCTATTTCTTTCTTGTGTTCAGGCTGGTCGGGATCTTAAGTTCATTAGCTTATCAATGAGTGGATGCTTTTCACTGGGTGCTCTCCTCTTGTTGGTAATGATATTTACATATTTTTGTGAGCTTCCTGGTTATCCACGTACATTAACATTCCCTAAATCCTGCATTTTGATGTTGCAACTGCAGCTAGTGAGCACAAGAGGATATGGTTTGCCAGGCTGCTGGAGTGCTCTTGTAGGATTTCAATGGGTATGGACGATGGCTAACCCCAATCCTCAGTCACTGACATATGTTTAACTTCCCTAGTGCTCACATATCTGAGTTTATACAATTTCTTATAGGCTCGATTTTTCCTTGCTCTTCGCCGCCTTTTGTCTCCCGAAGGTTTATTACATTCAACAGATGGGAATGAATACAAGCTGGAAAAGCTAAAAGCTGCTTAGTTAAATATGGCTGTTCCTGGTACATGAGAAGAGACAGCATTAGAATAATATCCCTGGCATCAAATTGAATCCCTCCTGGCAAGAAGCCGTGGTGCTCAATTATTGAAAAGTGGCGTACCATATCTGCCAATGAAATTTAAGAATTGTTGCTATTCTTTTGTGTCTCAATGAGGCTACTAGGAGCAAAAATAAGCAAGGCACAGCAAACACTACCTGCTAGATTAGTCATTTTCATTTTTTTTTCCACATTCTGAACCAGCTTCGAAATCTTCCCATTTAAGTGATTTTGAAGATTTTTTTCCTCTTTCATGCTTATCAACGCATTAGAGTACCTTTAATTTTGCTGTACTATTGATTTGAAACCATGCAATAAGAATTGCTCTATTTTAGCTTTAAGTTATTGAATAAGAATTCAATTCTAATG